CATCAGATTTTCTGATGAAGGGTCTAGGCCCGAAACGTCAGCCTTCCTGCTCCTATGATGCTGCTTAGCCTGCTGTGTTCATCCAGCTCTGCACCTTGTTGTCTCGGCTTCTCCAGCATCTGCAGTTCCTACTATCTCTGATTCAATTCCAAATGTGTTTTGTTTTCCTTTCACTAGTTAATATTCATATCGTGAAATGTTAACATGATGCTACCCCTGATGTAATAGTGTGCTTAATGTCCCTAGGGGATACCAGGACAACATGGGAACCCAGGATTACCAGGACTACCAGGCTCAAAGGTATATGTGACTCTGAAGTAATTAATCTGTGTCACTAACTTACCATTTTCCATATGTAAGCAGCCTTTGAAGTATTCCAGCTGCCTTAAAGCATTAAATCATTATCTGCTATGATTGACTGGAGCCATATGTGAATCAAACTCAGGCCCTGGGTGAGGAGTGAGACTCCTCTCTCCCCGCCGGGAAATATGATTGTTTCTCTTGGACTGACATCAAAGGACTCAAATGGCAAAGTTCAAAAAAAAAGCAAAATTTGTTTGTCATTTATTTCCAAATTTTGGGATAAGCTACTTATCTTGTTTCCTAGACCAAGATGTGACTGTGGCTCAGTAGGTAAGATGTAATATGTTTGCACATCATATAGGTTTGAGTCCCACTCCAGAGACAACAGCCTGGAATTCTAGGGTGACCCTCACACTGAACGCTGCAGTGTCAGAGGTGCTACTTTTGGTGGGATGATAAATCGAGGTCCCTTCTGCCCTGTCAGGGGGTGCAAAGGATAATGTGGCTCCATTTTACGGAAGCACAGGGGACACCTCCACAGTGAGAATATCACTGTGGTTTATCCCTCAATCAACATCACTAATCTCATTCTAGTCACTACTACATTGCAGTTTGTGGCATCTTGCCATGTGCAAATTGGTTGCCAAGATTCCCATATGACCACAGCAAATACACTTCAAAAAACCTACTTAATTGGCTGTAAAGTACTTTATGGTGATCTCAGATGGTGAAAGGTGATATATAAATGAAAATCCTTTGTTCAGTTTGGAAACAGCAAATTCCTCGGATAACTTGCATGTTACAATGACTTAGCTCAGGAATGGGGGACGTCTTTCAAACTCTATGATTTTCTTTTCTAGACTGTTTTCCTTGTTAAATAGACTGGGTTTGATTTCCCTGGAGCAGAGGAGGCTGAGGGAGGATCTGATTGAGGTGTAAATGATTATGAGACGCATAGACAGAGTAGATTGTGAGAATCTGTTTCCCATGGCAGACATAACTAAGATAAAAAAAGCATCAGTTTAAGGTGAGGAGTAAGAGGTTTAGAGGAGATTTGAGAAAGGATTTTTTTCACCTGAAGGTGGTAGAAATATGGAATGTGCTGCCTGAGAGGGTGTTGGTGGCAGGTACTGTCAAAACATTTAAGAAGCAACTAGGTGAGCACTTAAAATGCCAGGGCACAGTAGGCTATGGACCAAGTACAAGTAAATGGCGTGGAGGAGTTGGTGTTGGATTAGGGTGGAAAAAGTCAGAAGTCACACAACATCAGGTTATAGTCCCAACAGGTTAATTTGAAATCACAAACTTTTGGAGCGCTGCTCTTTCATCAGGTTCAAATAAACCTGTTGGACTATAACCTGGTGTCGTGTGGCATTTAAATGGGATTAGTGTAGTTTCCTGGTTGTTGGTCAGCATAGAAATTGTGGGCCGAAGGGCCTGTTTTTATGCTGTATGACTCCATGACTTTGTTGATGTGTTTGGGTTTGTTTAAGTATTTTGTTAGTGTCTAAATGTGAACACTGTGTTCACTGTCACCACTCTGTTCACTGTCACCACCTGAAAAATCACTTCCAACTCATTTATGATGTCTCGGTGAATTCCCAGCTCCCAGAATGATAAGCTCTGCACTGTAATCTAATTTTCATCGTCGGTTTATATTGTATACAAGTCAGGAATCCCACAACAGTGATAGAGTTTATACCTTCCTCAGGAAGGGTTTGCTTCAGCTTGTGCTGGCTGTATATATACCAAACCAAACAGTTTGAATTCTAACAGTACAAAGGGATTGATTCTTTCCCCAGAGCCAGGGACAGGTTCTTCCCAACAGTACAATGAAGCCGGCTGAGTTAATGAGGGAGGCTGTGAATCAAGCACTTTCAGAACCTGCTTGTGATTCCATTTCACGCAAGATTCCTTCCACCGTCTCTTGATCTCACTCCTTTGTCTTATCCTTCTGTTCTGTTCTCTCTCCAGCTTTGTTTCTCTAGCTTTCCCTTAAACGTATCGATAATATTTGCATTAGACAGCCCCTGTGGGAGAAGGTTTGGATAAGGACATTTCCTCAGAAATGCGTAAAACATTGTTTAGGCCACAGCCTAAATTATTGTGTGCAGTTCTGGAATCCACATTATAGCAGGGATGTGATAGCACTGGAGAGGGTGCAGAGGATATATACCAGGATGATACGTTGGGTTGGAGAATTTCGGTGATGGAGAGGTTAGACAGACTGAGATTGTTTTCCTTAGAGCAGAGGAGACTGAGAGGGGACATGATCAAGATGGAGAAAATGATGAGGGTCATAGACAAGAGGAAATCTTTGATTGAGCGCTCAATGTCCTGGGGGCAGAGATTTTAAGATAAAGGCTCCGTGGTTTCGAGGAAAAACCTCTTCACCCAGAGGGTAGTGGGAATCTGGAACTCACTGTCTGTAAGGGTGAGAGAACCAGAAGCCCTCATAACATTGAGGAAGTATTTAGCTGTGCACTTGCGATGCCAAGGGTATGGGCCAAGTTCTGGAAAATGGGATTAGAATAGTTAGGCAGCTGTTTTTTGACCAGCACAGACTCAACGGACTGAAGATGTGGCTGTGTTTTCTGGGCTGTAGATGTTATGACTGTATGAATTGGGTTTCATGATACTATCTTATATTAACGGCCTCTACAGGAGGAAACAAAAACAGAAGTTGCTGGAAAAGCTCCGCAGGTCTGGCAGCATCTGTGAAGAGCAATCAGCGTTAATGTTTCGGGTCCGGTGACCCTTGCGCAGTTCTTTCGGTCTTCACAAAAGGAAACACCTTTCAGTATCCACTCAATCAAAGCCTTCATTAGGTCACTACCTCAGCTTAGGCTGCGTTAACCTGCTGCTCCGACACTATCCTTGGAAACATATCTTGCATCAGAGGAGACAGAGGGTAGTTGTGGAGGGGCGTTTTTTTTTTACTGGAGGTCTGTGACCAGCGTGTTCTGCCAGGATCATTAGCTGGGATATCTGTTGTTTATAATATATATAAATGATTTGAATGAAAATGTAAATGGTTTGATGAGTAAGTTTGCAGACAACATAAAAATTGGTGGTGTTGTGGATAGTGAGAGAGGTTACCAAAGGATGCAGCAGGATATAGATCACAGAACATAGAACAGCACAGTACAGGCCCTTCGGCCCATGATGTTGTGCCGAATTTTTACCCTAAAAAACTTCAGTCAGGAATCAGCAGCTTTGATCAGTATTGGGAGTGAACCAATAACCTTGGTGTTTATTTTTAACACTGTGCTCCAACCATAGATCAGTTGGAAAGTTGGACGGAGAAATGGAAGATGGAGTTTAATTTGGACAAGTGTGAGGGGATGTATTTTGGGAGGTCACATGCAAAAGGAAAGTATTCAGTAAGTGTCAGGACCCTGAGGAGCGTTGATGTACAGAGCGATCTTGCGGTGCAGACCCATAACTCCATGAAAGTGGCAACAGAAATGAATAAGGTATAGAAAAGACATTAGTTAGGCCACATTTGGAGTATTGTTTGCAGTTCTGGTCACTACTCTATAGGCTTCGGAGAGGATGCCAAAGAGGTTTACCAGGATGTTGCTTAGTTTGGAGGGTGTTAGCTATAAGGAAAGGTTGGACAAACTTGGATTGTTTTTGCAACAGCATCAGGGCTGCGGGATGACCTGATAGAAATATGTAAACTTATGAGAGGCATGGATAGGATCAATAGTCGGAGTCTTTTTCCTCGGATGGAAATGTCAAATACTAGGGAACACAGGTTTCAGGTGAGAGAGGGAAAGTTTAAAGGACAGTGCGAGCTGAGGAAGAATTTCTTCACTCAGAGAGTTGTAAACCTGAAGAATTCTCCCCCAAAGAGAGAAGTTGGGGCCAGGTCATTAGATATATTCAAGAGGGATCTGGACGTGGCCCCTGTGGTTAAAGGCATCAAGGGGTATGAAAAGAAAGCAGGAATGGGCTACTGAGATTGCATGATCAGCCATGATCATATTGAATGGTGATGCAGGGTCAAAGGGCCAAATGGCCTACTCCTCTACCTGTTTTCTATGTTTCCATGAGACCATGCAGCCTATCATGTTTGTGCCAGCTATCCAAAGAACATTATGACTTAGTGCCAATCTCCTGCCTTTCCCCCCATTCCCTGCAAACCATTTCCATCCAAATTCCAATCCAATGCCCCCTTGAATACCTCAAGTGAACCTGCCTTCACCACATTCCCAGGCAGTGCATTCCAGACCCTAACCACTCACTGAGTGTAAAGTGTTCTTTCGTTAGAAATCACCTTAAATTTGTGCCTTCTCATTCTTTTTATGAACTTGGACAGTTCCTATATGAACCCACTCATGATTTTGAAAGCCTCTATCAAATTTTCTTTCACCCTTCATAGAATCCCTACAGTGTGGAAACAGGCCCTTCAGCCCAACAAGTCCACACTGACCCTCAGAGCATCCCCCCCAAACCCATCCCCCTGTAACCCACCTAATCTACGCATCCCTGAACACTACAGGCGATTTAGCTTGGCCAATCCACCTAGCCTGCACATCTTTGGACTGTGGGAGGAAACCGGAGCACCCGGAGGAAACCCACGCAGACACAGAGAGAATGTGCAACTCTACAGTTGCCCAAGGCTGGAATCAAACCTGGGTCCCTGGTGCTGTGAGGCAGCAGTGCTAACCGCTGAGCCATCGTGCTGCCCCTTCTTCTCTCTAAGGAGAACAATCCCAACTTCTTCAATCTACCTTCATCACAGAAGTATCTCATTCCTGGAAATCACTTCTGCACTCTGTCTCCAATGCATTCATATCTTTCCTATAATGTGGCACATACAACTGTACGCAGTACCCTAGCCGAGGTTTAACAAGTGTCTTATACAAGTACAGTATCACCTCTCGGCTCTTGTACTCTATGTCCCTGTTTAATAATGCAGAGGACACTGCTGCCTCCACTTATCCTGTCACCTTCAATGATGTGTTCATATATACACCCAGGTCCACTTG